CCACCACCTTGGTGACCAGGTAGCCGGGCTCCGCGGCGCGCGGCACCGTGTCGAAGAGCGCGGAGCCGTCGGGCCCCAGCGCGGGGTACAGCACCCGCGGCGCGTTGTCGTTGCGGTCGCCCACCAGCACGCGCAGGCTCACGTGGGCGCCCAGCGCGGGCGAGCCCTGGTCGCGGGCCTGCAGCGTCAGCTCGAAGGCGCGCAGCTGCTCGTGGTCGAAGGCGCGCTGCGCGAACACCACGCCGCTCTGCGCGCTCACCGACACGTAGGACGACAGCGACCCGGGCTCCAGGTCGCTGGCCACGATCGAGTAGGTGATGTGGCCGTTCCGCCCCAAATCTGGATCTGACGCGCTGACCTGCGCGATGGAGGCTCCTGGAGGGTTGTTCTCGGCCACGTCGACCACGTAGGATGCCTGTTGGAAAACCGGAGCGTTGTCGTTGACGTCGCCGATGTGCAGGGTGACGGTTATGCTAGAGGAGAGAGGCGGCTTGCCCCGGTCTGTGGCTATGATAGTGACGTTGTACTCTGGAGTCTGCTCTCGATCCAAGGGCCCATCTGTTACCAATTTGTATGAATTTTTGGACGAAGAGATGATCTTAAAAGGGACTTCACCTTCTAATCGACAGTTAACCTCGCCATTTCCCCCAGAATCTTGGTCATGTATTTTGATCAAAGCAATTAGTGTTCCTGGCGCTGCGTCTTCCAGAATCATTTGGAGGAGAGAATGGAACGTGACTTCTGGGCTATTGTCGTTTTCATCTTGAATGCTAATTTCAACTGTACATTGTGCAACCAGTCCTCCACCATCCCTCGCTTCCACCACTATAGAATATTCCTTGGTTTCTTCGAAATCCAGCGTTCTTTCAGTTCTAATTTCCCCGTTCTTTGAATTCAGACTGAAGACTTGCCCAGTTCTGTAGAAGGAATAAGTAATTTCTGAGTTGACGCCCTCGTCCTGGTCGGTGGCTGACACCTGCAGCACAACGGTGCCTGGGGGCACGTTTTCCCGAAGGCTGACGTTGTACACGTCCTGATTGAATATAGGAGGGTTATCATTGGCATCAGTCACCTGGATCCGAAGCTCAGTGGTTCCGCTTAGGGGAGGATCTCCACCGTCCAAGGCAGTCAGGACTAAACGATGGTAACTCTGTTGTTCCCGGTCTAAGGGCTTCTCCAGTGCCAGTTCCGGGTATTTACTACCATCTTGTTTCTCCTTATTTATCAACGAGAAACTAGGACTAGGAGAGAGTTTATACTTCTGCAGAGAATTTAAGCCAATATCTGCATCTTCTGCTACTTCTAGGATAAATCGTGTGCCCGGCTGTGCGGACTCACTAATTTGCAGCTCAAAGGAATCTTGCGCGAATTTCGGCGTGTGGTCATTAATGTCCTCGATCTCCACATTCACGTGATAAAAGTTCAGGGGATTTTCAGCAACAGCCTCGAATTCCAGAGCACAAGCTGGGTTCCTCCCGCATATCTGCTCCCTGTCTAGCCTGCTGCTCACAAGCAGCTCCCCGCTCTCTGCGCTCACGGCGAAGTAAGGTTTCTCCGGACTGACGCGCAGTTTTCGAGTCGGCAACTCCTGGACACTGAAGCCCAGGTCCTTGGCGAGGTTCCCCACTACCGAGCCCTTGGGCATCTCCTCGAGAATCCTGTAGCGGATCTGCTCCGAGAGCGCGGGGCAGAACAAAGCCAGCAGGAAGGGAAAGAGCACTGGCCGCCCGCCAGCCCGGCCCCGCTCCCCGGCGCCGCTCCCCATCCCTCTTGCTTACCAGCCTGGAGACGCCGGGGTACAAGTAATCTCTGTATCGCAGATGTCCGGAGCTGCCAGCGGACTTTAATTCCAGTTCCAGTTCAGGAAAAGATTCTTCTTTTTCCGAGATAAAAGCGGTGTAAAGGCTGCTCTGGGGAGTCTGAGACAGGGCGGCCCTGGAGAGCGCACTGCGGCTGCGCTAGGAGATGGGGCGCGCCAAGTTCTCCACTTTGGCCAACAGCGGCGCCCAGAGTCCTCACTGGGAAACTGCAGCCTCTGCTGCTTCAGTTTCACCAGCGCAAAAATTATAGTTGTGTGCCTAACTGAACAAACTACGGTGATACCTCTGCATATTTTATAGCGTTTTAAGTTGTATTCTTATAAGTGCCTTTGTACTAACCCTCCAGGGTTTTAGGTAAATCACATAGATTTAACACATGAAATCTGTTGACATCATAATTCCCTAATTTTCAACACGCACACATATACAAAGATAGCCATAACACAGACTTGGCCTAAGCTATCTCATACATAGTACAGTACTTTTGCATACTTATTAATTAGCAATGTAGTGGATACAATTGACCTGTTCTTTCATTGTTCCTGACGTTTCCCCCACTTTTCTAGGTACCTCCAAGTTTAATATTTCAACATTTTTTCAAAGAACATCAGTAGTGCTGAAATTGTCTTTGAGAAGGTGCAATGTATACTTATCTTCAAACACATCTCTTTTTCCAATAATTTCAGTGATTTCCTTATAATAATATTATGTGATTCTCATTTCCATTATCACAGGTAATACTCAGTTAAGAAAACAAGGAAGCTTGAAAAGGGTTAGTGTATTCTTCTCCATTACAGAATTATTTTCCTGGCTAAAAAATATAACATTAATCTTTAAAATTATCAGGAGGATGATATTTGGCCCCAAAACACAAAGACATTAAGGTGTGTCGTACTGCAGCACTGGTTTCTAGTTCTGTGCTTATTTCACATTTCATGATGATCTCAGAATAGAAGGAAACAATCTCTGGAAAGTTCGCTCGCAATAGCTCATTGAGTTTAGCGATGATTTCTCCCTTTGTTTAAAATATTTTAAAGCATCTAATAAATTTTAGTTGGGGGATTTTCTTTTTCAAAGTACTCTATAACCATATTTCTGCCAGAGACCTTTCCTTAGTAACACTGTCAGTAACATTGTCTTCTACCCCAAGTGATTGTACGCTGAAAATGTACAAATGTGTAAAATGTATCCCCACATGATTGTAAAGTTTATTTTATGCAAAATACCATCACATACGATACTGCACTAGAAAAATGTGTTTTTAGAGACAAAATCTTGCTATGTTGCCCAGGCTGTTCTCTAGCTTATGGTCTCATTCTATCCTCTTGCCTCAGCTTCTCGTGTATCTTACAACTGCATGCCCGACTACATGCTTGCAACACCATGCCTAACTAAAAATGTTTTGGTTTTTTTGAGTTGGAGTCTCACTTGGTCGCCCATGCTGGAGTGCAGTAGCATACTCACAGCCACCCCAGTATCGTCCTGCTGGGCTCTGGCAATACTTCCACCTCAGCCTTCCAAGAAGCCAGAATTACAGGTGTGCACTACCATACCCGGCTAATTTTTTGATTGATTGTAGAGATGAGGTCTCACTATGTTGGCCAGGCTGGTCTCCAACCCGCGGGCTTAGGCAATCCTCTTGCCTTGGCCTCCCAAAGTGCTGGGATTACAGGCTTGAGCCATGGTAACTGGCCTAAAAATGTATTTTTAATTAACACTCAAAGGTCCCTGGAATCAAGATTACCTTGTCATCCACTCCCAGATGCTAATCACCTGATATAGCGAACATTATTAAAATGCTATACAAAAGAATATGGAAATAGTTCATCTCAGATCGGGTTACTTATAACTGAATTTTTCAGCAAATCCAATAAATAAAATTAGCTACTGGCCTAGAAGCTGAGTACATAAGATGGTCTAGAATTTGAGTACATGAGACAGTTGTTTCATAAAGCCAGCATTCCCAGTCTTCCACTTGGAGAGCCCATAGACACACCCTACATGACTGTACCACTAGAATAGCATGTTGGAATTCTATGTTAAAACATGTAATTGCCTATGTCACAAGTGCCAGTCATAACACTTGAAACAACATTTTATTTGGCATATTTTTATCAGGTTTCGCAAATGGGCTTTAGTGTAGCATTAGACTCCATGCCTTTTTTTGTTTAGATCTTGGGAAGTTTGACACACACACACACACACACACACACACACACACACACACACACACACAAATTTCATTCTTTAGGCATCAAGCTAACCTTCACCTCAACATTAATAGGTGATTATCCTTTAAATAGATCAAGAAGCAACCATGATTTCAAAACCACTAAGCTGAGATACATGGAGGCAGAATCTGAACATAGAAAAAAGTTTCAGACTGAAAGACTCTTCCAGAACCTTTTCTAAATCCCAAGGCTAAAAGAATCATGAGAAGAAGACTGAGGTGTGTTTTATTCTTCCTATAAGGAAGACTCAACAATCCATTCTTATTTATAAAATAAATGAGGTAAGAAAATCAATCCATTCTCACTTGAGGTGGAAGTTACAAAGATGTGACTGCCACTTATTCACAATCTTGATCATAGGCTTTCACTAAAGAAATTATACCACAACCTATGCGTTCTATATTAAAATATCACCACGGAAATAAACCAGTAAACTTTAAAAAAATCTCTTTAACGTTCTTAAAATCCCTATCTTTAAAGTGCTTGTTTTGCAAAACAATAGAGAAATATCATGCAAAATTAATACCTTGTATAAATAAAGGAAGGCCTGAGCTCACCTGAATACTTGAGGTTTCATCCTTACATTCGTGAAAATCTATGGATGTTAACAAAGGATCCTTTTTCTCACAGCTCTCCTGGCTGATGAGTGTGTCCGCGTAGTTGGGTTGGGGAAAGATCAGGTGACTCTTTCGCGAGTCTGCAGTGAGGGACACCTCATGGGAATAGGTCTGCAGGAAAGCCTGCACTCCATCCACACCCACAAAGTGTGAGGCAGGCATCCCTGCCAACCCACCACTTGTAGCCTGAAGCAAACGTGATTTGTGCCAGCGCCACAGCCTTAGGGCCAGAAGCATGATGACAAAGGCAAGGAAGATACAGGAGACGGCGGCCAGGGCCACCACCAGATAGAGCGTGAGACTCGAATCGTCTGGGTTAGCAGAGGTCTCGAGGTTGCCCAGATCTGCCAAGACTTCGGGGATACTGTCGGCCACTGCCACAGTGAGCGTGACAGTGGCTGAGAGAGGGGGCTGGCCGTGGTCCTGGATGGCCACCACGAGACTCTGCTTGAGTGCATCTCTGTCCAGCAAGGCCCGTGCCGTGCGCACCTCACCCGTGTGCAGTCCCACCACGAAGAGTCCAGGTTCGCTGGCCTTGAGCAGGCGATAGGACAGCCAGGCATTCTGGCCTGAGTCTCTGTCCACCGCCACCACCTTGGTCACCAGGTAGCCAGGCTCTGCAGAGCGGGGTGCCAGCTCCACACCAGTGGAACCATCTGTGGGAAGGGTGGGGTACAGGATCTCAGGTGCATTGTCATTCTGGTCCAGCACAAACAGGCTCAGCGTCACATTGCTGCTGAGGGGTGGGTTCCCGCTGTCATGTGCTGTCACTTGCAGTTGCAGGTCTCTAAACTGCTCATAGTCAAAGGATTGCAGAGCATACAGCACTCCAGTGTCAGAGTTGATGGAGACATAGGAGGACACTGGTGACCCCTGGATGGTGTCTTCGGCCAAGGAATAAGTGACTTGCGCATTCTCGTCACTGTCGGGGTCCTGTGCAGTCACCACAAAGATGGAGGCCCCTCTGGGATTGTTCTCAGGGATGTAGACTGAATAGGATGAGTGGGGGAAACTGGGTGGGTTGTCATTGGTGTCGGCCACCTGCATGGAGATGTGAGTTTCTCTCGACAGAGGAGGAGTTCCACCGTCTGTGGCTTTCAGTGTGATGTTATACACAGAGAGTTTTTCCCGGTCCAGATTTTTGGCTGTGACCAGTCTATAATAATTCTTCACTGATTTTTCTAACTTAAAAGGGAAATTTTCCGGAATGGTGCAGATCACTTCGCCATTCTTTCCAGAATCTCTATCTTGGAGGTAGAAAAGAGCAATTACTGTCCCAGGAGGTGTGTCTTCAGGGACTGAGCTGCTTAACGACATCACCGTCACTTCTGGAGCATTGTCGTTCACATCTAAAACTGTGATCAGTACTTTCGCCTTTGCCAGACTACCAGGACCGTCTTGAGCCTGAACTTCCATTTCGTAGAAGCTGGACTCTTCATAATCCAGTCCTTCTGAAGTTGATAATTCTCCTGTGAGGGAGTTCAGATGGAATATTTGTCGAAGTTTGGGAGTTATTTTTCGAAAAGAATACGTCACTTCCCCATTGACGCCCTCATCCAGGTCGATAGCATTTACGGTGAGCAGTCTTGTACCCACGGGCACATTCTCAGGGACAGTCACTTGGTACTGGGGCAGAGAGAAGACAGGCGCGTGATCATTCACATCCACCACCGTTACCTGGATGCGTGCGGTGCCTGATCGGGGCGGGTTGCCGCCGTCAGAGGCGGTGAGGACCAGGTGGTGAATCGCCTCTTCCTCTCGATCCAACAGCCTCTCCAAAACCAGTTCCGGGTACTTAGTTCCATCCTCTCCACTTTGCACAACCAGGGAGAAGTGGCGATTGGGGCTAAGCTGGTATCGCTGGAGAGAGTTCGTGCCCACATCTGGATCCCCAGCCTCGTTTAACGGAAACCGCACCCCAAGAGCTGTATTTTCCATTATTTTTACATTTAGTTCTTCCGTCAAGAATCTAGGAGCGTTGTCATTAATATCCATTATTTCCACTTCTATAGGGTAAAGATTCATTTTGTCTTCCACCAAGATGCTCAACCTCACCAGACACTGCGCCCTCTGGGCGCAGAGCTCCTCCCGGTCTATCCTGCCCGCGGTGACCAAGCTGCCGCCTCGCGGGTTCAGAGCGAAAAGCTGCGTCCTACCTCGGGAGACGATGCGGACTCCGCGCTCCGCCAGCTCCCGGGGCTCCAGCCCCAGGTCCTTGGAGATGTTGCCCACGAAGGAACCTTTCTCCAGCTCCTCTGGCACCAAGTAGCGGATCTGTTCGGCCCGAATTTTCCACGGGGTCCCCAAGAGGATGGAGAGCAGCACGAAACCTCTGTAGTCCCCGGCCCTCTGTCGAGCCGCCATTGCTGTCCTGCTCGTCTTGCTTAGGCGCTGAGACGCCTCAGGATGTGCTTCTAAATGCGAGTGGACTCCTCTGTATTCGGAAGGGGAGCCCCGCATTCAGAAGGACAAAGGCTTGAGTTTGGTGCAGCTTGGAAGAGGGTTTGTCTTAATCTGTCTCTTCTCTGTGCTGTAAAACTCGGTGGTTCTGTGGGATCTCTCGCATCGTTTTCCCCTGGTTGGTGAACAGCGGCGCTCAGAGTCCTTACTAAGTTACTGCACCAAATTGAAGCAAAATGAACTGATTTTCCAGGGAAAAAAAGGTTTCATCCTTCAAAATATCCCTGTTGAGTTAAATTTCTTCACGCTAGATATCTCGGATATGCTTTAAAAGTCCATTTAAAGACACTGAATTAATGTAACAGTGTTCATGGATGGGTGTTTGATAATCCTAAATATTTTTTTAAAAATCTGCTTTGCATTGCAACTTCGAAGTGACTCTTTTGGGCACTGACTCACACTGTATTGCACATAGAAAAAAAATCTGCTATTGAAAGTAAAAAGGCAAATTTTATTTGAATACATATGAAAGATTTGACATACAAAATATTTACATTCGAGCATATAAAATTTAATTAATGCAATTATATTATTGAATGCATACTATGTTTGAGACACCAGCACGCAAGACTCAGAAAATCAAAATTGTTTCAAAATGTAGAGAGTTATTTTAATAAATTTTTTATTGTATAGAACTAGAGATGGTTTAGCCTAACATCATTTTAACTACTAAAAAAAGAGAGGGAATTGCCTTGTTCCTAATTATAGAGTAGTAGAACAATGTAAAAATCCAAATATCTTCACTCTCAGTCTTGTGAGAAAGAAAAAAAAAACATTGTTGTTCTTGGCTGATACTTCATCCTCAAAGAGTGTCATTAGAGATGAGGTGTGATGCCAAGCAGCAACAACCAGCTATGGAAACACCCCATATTCTATAGAAAGCAGACATTTGCAGAGATCTGACTAGTCTGTGCATTCACAACAAAGTGGATATCAGTTTGAAAGGTTCTTTTCATTATGCAATTCAAATCTTCATCCTACCCTATTTTAGTATAATTGAGAAAAAGAGGGTCTTTAGACAGCATTTGAGCAACATGCAGAACTGTCCTGAGAGAATAAATTTCCATGTATGTTAATGGAGTAAAACTCAATTACTAGTGGATCTGAGGTTACTCTCAGGTAGCAGAAACAAAAGAAAGTTTCTTTCACACATTTGCAGAAGAAAAGAGAATGACCTATTCTGGAATTTGTAATGATCTGGCAAGAAACAGCCTCTTTTTTTCTCTTCAAAATATTTTAAGTCCTAAAGAAGTAGCTAGCAGAACCAGGAGGAGAATCCAGAATGAACACTAAAAATGCTTAGCTTAGTTTTGTATGGGGTCCCTAACTAAGTAATTTATTTCTGCTCTCTGATGGCATTGTTCCAGATTATAGGAAATACCACATTTGAATGAAATGTTGTTTCAATCTACCAAAATAATTCTTAGTCATGTTTGCTTCACCAAATAGATATTATACATTTTTGTTTAAATAGAGTATTCTAGATAAATTGGAGTTAAATCCTATTTGTTTAATAGTAATTTTAAACTTCTTGTTGATGCAAGCAAAATGTATAGTCATTAAACATCATAAGTGCTTGTAGATATTTTCACACAAACTTTCATGTTTGGAAGTTATGGATCCCAGTGTCTTGACATTCCTACCTGATGCCTCAGAGTTCATAGTTTCTTTTCATATTTGTCTCTTATTCGATTGGTTTTGTTTTGTTTTTGTTTTTGTTTTTACGTTGGAGTCTCACTCCGTCACCCAGACTGGAGTGCAGTGGCACACTCCTGGCCACCGCAGCCTCGACCTGCTGGGCTCTGGCAATCCTTCCACCTCAGCCTTCCAAGTAACTGGAACTACAGGCGTGCGCTACCATGCCTGGCTATCTATTTTTTTTTTAAGTCTCAATTAACTTATTACTTCTGCATACCATCTTTGGAGCTAAATAAGTAAGGTCTAATTAAATGAAGTCATAGACTACTGTGAACATAAAGCATACTTAAGGAAGTAAATAGCTTCATTATCTCTAGCATTCAAGTTTTCTAAGTTGTCTCACATCATGAAATTAAATGTTAAAGATTTTTACTAGACAACAAAGATGTGTTCAATAAAATACAACATAACCTCACTATATCAAATTGAAATCATTCCATAGTTTAAAGAGTATGTCATTAATATTATTTATTGAGTTATTGGGAAGAATCCTGATCTTCATTTGTTTAATTTTTTTTTTTTGAGTTGGAGTCTCACTCTGTCACCCAGACTGGAGTGCAGTGGCATGCTCCCAGCCACTGCAGCCTCGACCTGCTGGGCTCAGGTGGCCCTTCTGCCTGAACCTTCCAAGTAGCTGGAACTACAGGTGTGCACTACCACGCCTGGCTATCATTTGTTTACTTGTATTTTAAAAAGTCTACGCAAAGCCTATCTGGCTTCCCAGGCATTGAGTTCATTCTCTTCTCTCTCTTCGTTTTGGAAATTCTTCTATTGAAAAAGCATCTGTTTGAATTCTGTTTAGATTTTCATTCTCAAGAAAAGATATAGGTTTTCTAATGATTCTGAAATTTTGCTCCTTCTCATTTGATAAGTGCCACCTCAACAGAAGTTTGATCAGAAATGAATGGTTTTCATAGGTGATAAAATAGTTTGGAGGAGTTTTTTCCCTGATGCTTCAAAATTCAATATGTACTCAAAATTTCAAGTTATTACTAATAAGCTGTATCATCAGTGAATCAAAGAGCCTCATTTAGTTCGAATTTAGCAAATTCCATGATTGCCAGGATGCTTAACAATTAGTCAGTCCAAATAAATGAATGGCTATTGTAAGA